AAAAAAAAAAAAAAGAATGGATGAACAAAATGTGGCTTATGTCTACAATGGAATATTACTCAGCCACAAAAAGGAGTAAAGTCCTACATGATGGACCCTGAGAGTATTACATAAGTAAAAGAAAGTCACAGAAGTGCACATATTTTATGATTCTATTTGTCTTAAAATGTCTAGAATAGGTAAGTGTATAGAGACAGAAGGTAGACTGGCACTTACCTAGGGCCCAGGAGATGGAATAGTGAAAAAAGTGTGTGGGGTTTCTTTTTGAGGGAATAGAAATTGTCCTAACGTTGAATATAGTTGTGCATATAGTAGAACCTCTGTAAGTCGACCACCCAAGAGACTGTAATGAACTGGTTAACATACGGAACTAAGCCTATTGTACTAACACACGTGGTTATATGTCTCATCTACAAAAATTAGGTCAAAGGTGGTCAACTAGGGAGGTTATACTATGTATTAAAAACTGCCAATGTGTATATTTTAAATGCACAAATTACACGCCATGTGAATTGCTGGTATATCTCAATAAAGCTGTTATGTGAAAAAGAAATCCAATTCCAGGACATGATACAAAAGTAGGATATGGGCTCTTTGCCTCTCCCTAGCTGCCTTGGGGGATCTATGTTTTCTTGTCTCCCAAGGCCCCATGATGAGTCGGAAAACTGTATGGAACACCATGGTCCTACATAACTAAAAAGTTAGGGAGTACCTACTATGGACCTTGCAGAGAATGGTGAGTCATCCCTACTGGTTGTTTCTTGGATATTCCCCTTCGTCAGGCCCTGTTGCTGGATCCTAGACTCAATCCCTCAGGAATAAACAAGAAGACCAAGCTTTGGTCCCTGCCCTACCCTCCACTTACTTGGCTGTGTGACCATGATCAAGTGTCCTCCCCTCTCTGGGCTTGAGTCCCCACTTCACAGTCAAATGAAGATTTTTCTGTAGATAACCCAACCCAACTGTTCATCTCAGGACAAAGTTCTTGTTCACACACGCAAAACAGATTTACATTTTAAAAGCAAAAGTTCTAGGTCAAGCCAATGCCAGAATCTCAAGGCCCCTCCCTTCTCAGCCTTTTAACAGCTCGCCAGCAGGCGGCCAGCAGACTCTGGCATCTCCCAGGTTTTGTTTCCTCTACTTGGGCCTGAGCCCAGATCTCTTGGCCCGCTAGGCCAGACTTTCGAAGGAAGGGTCTCAGCCAGGCCACCTGGAGGTGAGACAGGCACTGGTTGAGGTGCCACTCCTCAGAGAACACCACTGGCAGGGTACTTTCTGAGGTCAGACATTTCCAGGCCACCAGGGCAGCTGGATCTGGGCTCAGGGATGCAGCCCCCGCAGGCTGAGAGAAGTTTACTTAAGGTTATCTGCACAAATTCCACCCCGGCTGCCAGCCAAGCCCCAGTCTGCAGGGTTCCTGGGATGGGAACCTGCACCCCAGGTTCAGTATCCTGCACCCCAGGTCTCTCTACAGTCTGGGAGGTTCCCCACCCAGACGCCCACGCCCCCACTCACTCTACACACAACAGCACTGATAACTGGCATCGACGCACTGCTCAAGCCCTAGAAGCCCCGGGATTTTCACCGGGACATAAAGCACACACAGAGCTTATAAACCTCACACCTAGCACGAGCAACTGTGAGCCATACAACTAGCCCCGGTTCTGTACCCGCCCACCCCCTATCTCTCAGATAGAGACGTCATCACACTAGCCATCGGTTTTTTTCCTAACTGGCCTATGCCCCAGCACCCCCTCGAGACAACCCAGTGCACCCTCCTACACACTCCCACGACGCCACCTGCAGCTACTCCCGCACTAACTTTCTGACAACTCTCCCGGCTCAGTCCCGACACTCCCCCGGGCCGCGCACTGACGCTCGCATTCCCAGCAGTTCACACAAAGCGCGCAACCTCCCCCGCGGCCCACACCGAGTCGGAGCACATGGCTCCCGGGGCGGCGAGGAATAGGCTGCCGCTCGGGGCGCCTGCACCCCCATCCCCCCGTACCCCGGGGCAGACTCCGCGCAACAGCTCCCCTGAGGGCCCGCAATCCTGGTGAGGCTGGAGCTCTGGAAGAAAGAAAACTCACGTGTCTGTCCCGGGGCAGGAAAAAGTTTGGTTCCCACCCCCTTCCCCGGCGGCCCAGAGCTGGCTGACTCTTCGGGGCGAGGGGCTGGCCGAGCGTGCGCGCTCGGCTTTGTGCTCCGAACTCGGCCCGGAGGGGGAGGGGAGGGCAGGGGGCTGGGCTCCCACCTCCGCACCGCCCCCCCCTCAGCCCAGCGCCCAGACTCCATGTTGGCCGCCCCCTGCCCAGGCGACTGCGCGCTTCCCCCGCGAGAGGCTCGGCTCACCCTCGGCCTGCCCGAGGGTCCCGGCGCGCACAAACTTTCTCTGGGTCGCGGGCCCCACGCGCCCCGCTCCCTTGGCCCGCCTGGGAGTGACAGATGCCTCGGAGACAGACTTTCCTTTGTTCCAAAGGAAAGGGGAACTCGCGCGGGCTCCCCAGGCCCCCCCCGCTCCAGGCCCTTCTCGCTGCCCCTACCCCCAGCTGTCACTCTCAGCTGCCCCCTCCCCGGCTCCGCGGCGGCGCGGCGGGGGGGGCCCGGCCGGCGGTTAGCAACGTGCACTTTTGAAACCAAACAAACCCGCCCCCCGCGCGCTCTCCCCGTTCTGGGGCGTGAGCGGCCCTCTCCTAGGGTGGGATCTAGGGAGCTGGGCCCCCCACACCGGGGTTTCGAGCGAGCTTCCTCCGGAGGCTGGAACTGCCCCCCTCCCCCGGCCCCGCCAGCACACCTCAGTCGCGACTCACACCCGAGGTCACACACCCACAATCGCACGCGCCAGGACGACGCCCCCTCCCCCGCCCGACCGAGAAAAAGAAACTTTCCAAGTAGTCCGCGCGCCCCCATCCCTATCTGGCCCCCTCCTCCGCCCCGCACTGACTTTTCCGAGCGGCTTTCGGGTCCACGCGGCCTCAGGCTCGGTGCGGGGCGTCCTGGCAGGGGGCGGAGGGCGCCGGGGGAGCGCGCCGCGTACCTGCCGGGCCTGACACTCGGCCTGACAGCTCGCGGCTGGAAAGCACCTCGCGGCTTGACGTCAGATCCCCTCTCCTCCCCTCCGCGCGCTCCTCTCCCTCCCCCACCCGCGCGGAGGGAGAAAACAAACTTTGTGAGGAGCGCTTCGAGCTACGCCCACCCCCCGCGGGGCGGGCCCTCGGCGCCAAGGGGCTTCGCCCCGCCCACCGCGCCCGGAGGGGCGGGGCCGGGAGGGCACCTTCTTCCTGCGCCCACCCCCACCCTCAGGAATGCCACATGGCCTCCCGAGAGGAGAGGTGGGAGCGCCGGCTCGGGAGAGTCGGCTTGGGGGCAGGAAGTGGCCTGTTCCTCCTTTTGGAGAGCGCTTCCGGAGCGCCTACTGTGTGCTCCTCGCTGGGGATGGGGCCCGTTACCTAGGGAGAAATAATGCAAATTCTGACTTCTGTGAGTTAACTTCTTCAACCAGATCTCCTGCCGGCGGTGCGACTGCTCCCTTTGCGTCGAGGGGAAACTGAGGCCCAGTTAGTCCGAGGATTTACCCTTATCTGGTAAGGGACAGGGCCCACAATGTGACACCTTTTCTGCCCTCGAGGGCCTGTAGAGTTGGGAAGGAGGCCGCCTCAGCCTGGCTCCTCAAGCACACAGGTCTAGCACCCAGGGGGCGACGAGGTCAAAGCGCCAAGCTGTTCTCGGGAGTGTGGGGTAGGTGCATTTTTTATAAGTCACTGGCTTACTCCTGAGCCACAAGGGTTCTGAACTTGGTTTTGTCACACAGTCAACTAGTGTCATTCATTCCAGGTTGCTCTGACCGTGGAGGCAGACTTCAGTTTCTTGTTCCTGTTCTGCCCGTTGTACCCAATTCAGGAGTTCTCCTTGGCCTTCCCAGCTCCTGTCAGCACTCCCTACCTTGTTCTCTGCTCCCGGTCCCACAGCCCAGCACCGAGTATGCCTAACTCAAACCTGCCAAGGCCCTTTTCTGGGTCTTTTTTCCTCATCTAGGCCGAGGTATCTAGAGTCTGAGCTTGGAAATCAACAGCTTTTGGTCTTAAATTGCACTTTACCAATGAAGGACTCGGAACAGGCTCGGCGCCTGTGGCTCGAGTGGCTAAGGCGCCAGCCACATACCCCTAAGGTGGCGGGTTCAAGTCCAGCACAGGCCCGCCAAACAACAATGATGGCTGCAACCAAAAAAAAAAAAAAAAGGACTCAGAACAAAATCTGGTTTTTTAAACAGGCCCTAAATCCCATTAGAATGCTGATAAATAACTGTTAAGATGCACCTGGACTTCCCATTTAAGCCACATTTCCCTGGAAATGCCAAGAACCTAGTTGGTTATGTCATTCTCCTCACAGCAGCACCCCCGATTGTCAGTTGCACTGCCCAGTGCTCTCCATTTCACAGATGGGGAAACTGAGGCCCAGAGTGGCAGCAAAAACCAATTTTTTGCCAAATGGTTCTCCATCCACAGCCTTTTGTTACAAAAGGGGAGGCTTGAAGAATCTTTGGTAAGGCTCGGTGCCTGTGGCTCAAGCGGCTAAGGCGCCAGCCACATACACCTAAGGTGGCGGGTTCGAATCCCCAG